GATGTAGAGGCAGGTCTTATGATTTTCATGCCATAAGCCATATTACAATTAGAAATTTGAGACCAGTGTTCATGCTGTTTTTTTTTCCACAGCCTACAACTCTTTCCACAAAACCCCGGGGATATGTGATGGTTCCTCTGATGTATTTGTTTTAAAGGCTGTCCTCGAACCTACTTCTCCCCACTTTCCATGCTAGCTCTCTGCAGGAGTAATACATTGGAGAAATCTCCTGAATCACAGGCCAATAATCAGAACCTTCTGACTGCCTAAAAGCTAAGAGACTGCTGGCTAATCTCAGAATCAGATTGCTGCAAAACACACTTTGTGCAGCTTTTGAGAGTTTACAAAGATAACTTTGGGGTAGAGAGTGGAAGCATGAAGTACCAGAGAGGACACAACGAGCCTGCTTGACTTCTCTTGAACACTGAAGCTCCCTTTAACATTGGAGACAATTCGCTTTTCCAAAATTGAGATCAACCAAGGTTACTGGTCTTGTAAAGCTAGAGAAGAGTTCTCAGCTAAAGAGCGAAGCACGGGTTTTTGATTATTTCTTATTTTAAGTATTAAGTGTTTAGTGTTCTGTAAAGCAAACTAACAAGAACCAAAGAGCAACCACATGTTAGCTCACCTAATGATAAAAAAATTAAAATAACCGTTTATAAAATTAAAGCACTAATATCACACCAACATGTATGTTTCCAGATATCCTCATTACATTTGCCCAAACAAAACAAGTCCCCTTGTGTAATTTTTAACCTTACCTATTTCCTCAGGAACAATCACAGAGGGTTAAGGATAAATTGTCTAATAATTTCTAAATTAGGCAAATCATTTAAGAAAATATTTGTATCAACAATGTTTTATTGACCTCTTGGATTTCCACTGTGAATTGGAAACATTCAAACTGATCTAAATTACTTTAAAAGCTAGTTTGACCTCCAAACGCTACAAGAAATATTTTTGTTCTTGAACATAAAATCAATGCTGCACCAAGCTATAATTGTATAACTTTATTGATTATGGTTTTCAACCGCTTTCATTTCCTTCTTCTTTGTGCAGAGAAGCTTAATTTTACTTGCTTAATTAAAAGTTTTTAACTGAAATAGGTTTGAACTGGAGCTCAATGACTTTTGTTAGTAAATTATAATTTAAATAGAAATAGTTGTGAATTAATTTCATGTTTACAAAATTAGCAGCTTGACCTTGATTTAAGCTCAAATAATACGGCCAGTTGGGCATGAGCTCATAGTTACAATAAAAAAGATATTGGATTAAACAAACATTACAGAAGACTTTAATTGCTTTACAAGGGTTTGTTTTCAACTTTATGCCTGAGAGTGGCCAACATGCAAAGACTTAAATATAAACTCAAATAGGAACCAAAAGGAGAAACTGGCTTTAATGGCTTATCACCAGAAAAATCATATATTTGTCAGCATATCCGTCCAGACCTCACACTAGTCTTTTGGCTCAAGTCTACTCTGCTTACTCAGAACCAAACATGGAGGAACAGTTTTAAATTCTTGAACTCAACTAGTCTGGAATAAACTACCAGAAATTTAAAAAGTGCGGAAAACCTAAATACTTCAAACTTGAAAACATATCTGTCTGACAAGTAAAATGTAATTGTGTATTCAGAGAGCGGATAGCATTATAATACAGTTAAAAGCTCAATAGGGTTGGTTTTGCTAGATACTAGGCCCTTTAAAGAAATACTAATTTATGGTTATAAAAGATATATTATGATGTCCTGTGATGCTGGAGTAACTGCAAGGGCTGCTGGGAAATGTCAAGATGGGGGAAACCATCACCATTTAATCGTGGTTTTTTGTTCAAAAGGGTTGTTTATATTGGTCATCTTTTCATGCTATAAATTATGTTCTGGGGGTAGCAGTTGTGTTAAAATTGGCACTATGGGAAGAATGTTTCACCAGTTGAATACAGAGGAAAAGGCATTTTCCAAGTTTGTTGGATTTAAATAAAAAGCTTGGCAACTGTGCTCTGGTTACAGAGTGATACTTACCTGCTGGTAAACACCTCACATTATGCCGCTGATTTAAAAAGTAATTCCACCATTTGACAGGGAAGATGGAAGGTTATCAATATCTGTGTATGGGGGCTGGGTTTGGAGTAAATTACTGAGAACTTGGTTTAGTTTCTGCTTCCTCAAAATAGACTTATAAGAAGTACCCAGGTCAACAAAATATATGATTTTTAACCCTAGGTGTAACCGAATCTTCTGTTAAGTTCATACACTTTGTAGAGTAAAATTGGTTCCATTATTTAAAAGAAAAGGTTATTTAAATCAAGTAGCACATCGCTGTTCATCAAGAAGATGAAAAAGTATCTGGATCACTGAGCTTCAGGAGGCCCATAGGAGAGAAATGGTTAAATGTGATTGGTCAGGTAGCCTCACCTATGTGTGAATGGTGTGAGGAATTCTCTAACATAGACCAACGCAGCAGGTTATCATTACAAAAAATCATAAGAACTTTTCTTAGATTAGAAAAGTTAAAGAGACTAAGGTCAAACTTAGTGACATTAGGACTGGAGAGAAACATAATTTTCTCTGGTTACTCTGTTTTGCTAAAAAAACAGCCAAGTGTGCTGAGCTCTGCTCCATGATAATCTGTTCTCTGGTTTTTTCCCCAGCCTGCTCCCTCTGGGATTTATTAGTTGTCGTGAACATAACAGGCACTGATCCCGAAAGTTTATGATTTGATTTTTTTCTATTTGCTAATTGCCCTACAATCGAGGCAAAATCCCCCATGTTCATTAACATCAGCTGATAATTAAGTGCCGCCATCACATCTCCTCGTTTTGTGCCCTCAGCATCTATAAATACATGTGAACTCTTATTTCTGAACGATTTCCATGATATTAAATAAATGCAAAGACACAGCTTTTACAATAACTGAGTGGGGAATTAAAAAAAATAAAATCTGCATGAAGCTGCAGCACAGTGTGCTGCTGGGCTCTATTTGTGGCAGCGTGGAGGTGTTTCTCCTCCTTCACTTCCAACAAAAGGTGAAAATTGCACCCAGAGGGGAAACGCTTCTCAGCGGGGGGAAGGTGCAGATCCACCCCATCCACCTCTCTTTGTTTCTGCCTGAAGCTTTGGCTCGTTTCCCTGAAAACCACAGCTGCACCATCTGAGCGGATGTAGGTCCTCTGGGGCTCCTCCAAGGACCTTCAGGGAGCAACGAGCTGCTGATATCCAGCAGCCGAATGATGCCGAGCTCATCGACACGTGTTAAAGCAAACTGTTACAATAGTCACATCATAAGCTTCTCAGCAGGATGGTGAGTAAACATCTGAGGGGGAGGGGGGAACTCAACAACAACATGAGTCTGACTCAGTGTAGTGGCAACAATTCAAGAACACTCAGATGAGATTCTAGTCACAATCAATCAGTGTTTAGATATAATCTGATTTTTTTACATTTTTTTCCCCATGGAGCTTACGGGGGCCAGAAGGCCAGAAGAACACAGGATATAAAAGTCCTGCCTTGTTCCTCCAAAGAAAAGCATGCAGCCTGAATTCAAACCTTTTGACTGCATCTATGGTGCCCTGATAAAGTTATGCTAAATTTTAGGGCTGAAAAAATTAATCGGATTAATCGTGATTAAACGGTTATTGAAATAAACGTCAACTAATTTAGTAATTGATTGTTAACTGGAGTATAACTATAACTAGAGACTCTAAAACAGGCCTTTATCTGACAGAGAAAGCAACTTAGAGCAGCAATTATGCCAAAATTGTGAAAAGTAAAATTTTTTAATTTAAGATAAAAATCTTTTTCTTCTGTCAATATGTTCCATCCAGAACCCCTCAAGTGGAAAAGTTTTAGTTTCACCTGGTTTAATTTGGCAAAAAAAATCTTAAAGAACCTTTAACCGTTTAAAGAACCTTTGGCTATCCGTTGATCATCAATCGAAAAATTCATAGACAAATTAATTAATTTCCAAAATAATTATTAGTTGCAGCCCTACTGCATTTTGTGATGTGGGGGATGGATGACGACCTATTCATAACCGAGTGGAAGCAGAAAAAAAAAATGTATATTTAACTATTCAAAATCTGAAGTGTGGCATGCAAATATAGATCTAAACCTGGCACATATATTCATTCATGAGTGCGGAAATTCATTCATTCAGGGCTCAGAGCTACAGAGCTGTCTAAGGGAGAAGGGCTGTTTATCCTATTAGGGAGTGCTTGGGATGAAAATAAACATTCTCATAAAAAGCTATGTTTTCTCTAACTGTAATTGTTTTGGGAAGCAGTATGTTGAGACCCTCACAGCCTTTCTGCAGGGTGTAAATTAGTAAGGCAAATTTTTTGCCTCACCAGAGGAGGGCTGGACATTAGGCCATCTTGTTCTTTTTCTTTGCAAAGAAAATTAAGTTCCGACTGAGTGAATTAATATCCATCGTTCCTAAAAAGGATAATGTGAGCACTTGCTTTCCTGCTCCCTTCATTTGTTAGCAGAAATCACCAGTGTGCAGGTTACAGTTTTCAGTATAAAGTTCACAGACTCAGCACCATTACTTCTCTGCAGCCGCACCATTCCTGATGTCCCCCCACTATAACAGCCAGAAACAGGAACATTTAAATTATTACTGGAAAAATATCATGCGGTTCTAAACATTTGCCTTCATTAAATCCAGTGAATGGTTTTAAATCACTGAAATCTACAACATGGACATCAATCATCAAGGAGTTATAATTCAAACTTTAATAGAACTCCAATGTTAATATATATATTTTTTTGTTTTACAATCTTCCAATCAGTGGGACCACATAACTGAGAACATGTTTTGTTCAACATGTGACCTGTCCTTTGAATCACTGAGCTCACGTGAAGGAAAATGTGAGGTTTGATTTGAGATCACACCAGCTTCTCCTGTTCCCTGCAAACTCATCTACTGCTCTTTGATCCGATTCACCAGAGACGACAAATTTAACAATATCTTTTATATTTTTTTATTTCACTTTTTTAAAATTATTGAAATATAATTCTTAGAAATGGGACACAGCAGACATATTTATAAAGACTTTGTTTTTAACTTATGCAACATTTTCATAAAAAGAATAAAAAAGGACCTTATATCTTCCATAAGAGACATCAAGGCTAATTCTCTTCCTTTTAACAGAATCAGCAGGAAAAATTAAGCAATTCAGTGAAGGACCTTTGTTTGTTCTGAGCAACATTTGATCATCTCGAAAAGCATAAAAAAAAAAACTGTTCATCTGAAACTGCAGCACGATGGTAAAGCATGCGGGGCCCTGGGTCCATCCTAAAAACTAAAGCCAGACTTAAAATTCTGGAAGTACCAGAGAAAGCATCAGGAGAGGAATACCAGCATCATAGGCTCCGCCTCCTTGACCCTGCATATGAAAAGTTCATGTCCATTTATTGGAGAAGAGCCACTGCATCCAATATTCAGATCATGTACCTAGACAAGATAACACTGCTGGTTTGTTTGAGTTTACTCCAGTTTCTAGATCTCCACGTGTTCCTGGAGACACCGGCTCAGCTAACTAAGCAGACACCACGGCGTCGTGCTCTGATCGCACTCTAGTTTGGTGTTGATGATGGTGCAGGGAGCCCCGCTGATAGTCAGCTCCTGCCGGGACTCCACCTGGTACTTGAGGTTAGTCAGCCCACCCTCAGGATCCACCTTAAACTGCTCCTGCAGAAAACAGGAGGAGACAGTGGAGTTATGACTCATCGTAAACAGGAATAAATCCCACCCAGTGTTCCATTGCTGAAACTAAATATGTGAAACAACGAGGTTATGCAAAGTTGCTACAAAACTAGAGATTCATCGATCAGGTTTTGCTTCCTGACCGACAATGTCTGCTGGTTTTCTCTAATGTTTAAATGGTTACGTTTCTTTTACATTTCTTAAAAGATTGCTCCAGATGAATGAGGAAATGCACGGAAGATATTTTCTAAAAGGTACAGAATAAAATATTCATGAATGGAAACATCTGTCCCCAACCTTTTAATGAGATGAGAAAAGACATTAGTGTTAATTAACTCGGTGGTTTTACAGGCAGAAGGTGGTGGGAGTTATTTGCTCTAATTTATTTAAAAAAAAAACAGCAAAATTCTCTTTTTGTTAGCATTTTAACTGATGATCAGAACTAATAAAGGGAAATCAGCTGATTGACTTGTCTTGATATAAAATAGATAAAAAAAAAAAAAAAACACACTGAAAAATCAAAATGTCTCACTTTGGTTTTATACTTTATTCATGTGAAAATCAGTCAACCTGCTGGTTTGTTACCAGTCTGTCTCTGACCTGTTTCTGAGCAGCGACTCTCTTCTGGTCTCTCTTCCTCCAGGCCGGGTCATGGATGTGAAGGAAGGTTTTATATCCTGTCGTGATTCCACTTGGCCGGAACAGCTGCAAAAAGTAAATAAAATAAACCCAAAGAAACCGGAAACAATCTACAGACACAATTCTGATTAAACCTCTTGTTCTCTGCTGATCAAAGTAAATATTTACCTGTAATTCTGCTTTTCTTAGCCTTCGATAGAACTCGTCATCCTCCCTGCCCCAACCCCAGAAACGGTTCGACATCCCATTGCACTGCACACATACAGAAGATAAGCAGCATGAAAAACAGCTTTCTTAGGTTTATTATAATTACAATAAATGTTATTTCTTCAGAACCACAGCATTAAGTAAAAATAAAGATGATCATCTGCTGCCCAAGAATTTTATTGGTTCAAGTCAAACATAAAGGCTACTATGTCTGTTCTTTTTGTGAACCTTCAACGTTCAGAGCTAAGCAGTTGAAACAGCACCATCTGGTGGACGTATTGTATCATCCCAACTGAAAATAATTCTGAACCTTAATTTACTTACCGTAATCATCATTTCATACAAAACTAATTGTTTACAGTTTTGAGCTCTGTTTTAATATTAATGGTAATGGCTCAGCACTAATGTAAAATAAAATAAAACAAAAAATTATCAAGTAGTATTACGCTGGACCAATGAAACTTAATACAGAAATGTTTTTTGATGGCAAAGATTGTGAGACAGAGAGCTTATCTGACGGCTGTCTAGCAGGCAGTGACACACCACCACACAGACGGCAGTGTTGCTAAACAAGTTAACTCTGTGTAACGTTACACGCCCGCAATGTCACTGAAAAAAAAATCATTAGTCACCCTGGTTTTTAGTGTTGTTGTGTTTATCATATTCTGAAGGTAATACAATCCTTAGCATTTAGGATAAAAAACATTTGCATCTGTCAATATATTCTATCCAGAACTCAAGTAGAAACATTTTAGTTTCACCTGGTTTAATTAAAAAAATAAAATAAAATTTTAGGGAACCTTTGAATATCCGATTATTAATTGAAAAAATAATAAACATATTAATCAATTTGCATAATAATCGTTAACTCTGCCCTAGTTGGAACCCATCCTTTCTTCACTCAAGCCTTTTCTTGCCTCTAAAGCCAAAGAAAACTAGAGTGCAGCTCTTCCGTACCATGTGATAGTGCTTCTTGCTGAGCAGCAGGATTCCTCCCACGTAGGTCTTGTAGTGGTAGAGCGGGTGCAGCTCCGGCGAGGCCACATGGAACGGTCCGTCTTCAGGAAAGCCGTAGTCCAGAGCCTCATTAAGAGGCAGCAGGTCCACGTCGTGCATGGCCAGGTAGTCTGTGTCGTTCCCACTCTCCATGTAGCCCACGTTGATCAAAGATGCTCGATTGAATCTGGATATAAAGCGACTGTTTAGACTTTAGAACAACTTTAAAAACATAAGACTTCAAAGGTTCCTTTAAGCAGCTGAGCTTTCACCTGTAGTGATCCACCTGGTTGATGATCAGGATCTTATGGCGGATCTTTTTCTTGTTGAGAAACTTGTGCATGAACGGAACGAACACCAGCAGTTCTTCGAAGCGTTCCCTGAAGGGGACCACCACAGCCAGCTTGTGCGGACCCCAGGTGGGGTCATCCACTGCAGACGACTGGCTTTCTGGAGTGGGACAAGCTGGTGGCGGCGGCTGGGGGTCACGCTGGTTATGATGCGCTGCTGAGGCCATGTCAGCCGAACAGCTGAGCTGCAGCCACAGCAGAGAGACGACTACCAGCACCATGCAGAGGCCAAACAGCTTGTAAATGGTGCATTTACCCCACAGCATCCTGGAAACAGAGAACAAGGCACCTCTAAAGCTTTGGGTTTGTTTTTTTTAAACACATGCAGCAAGCAATATTGAAAGGTAAAAATTACTTAAAATCCAAAGCCTGCGTTTAGCATCTAGGATAGCTGAACCTCCAAATAACATTTGAGACGATTAAAGATTCAGTGGACAGTAAAAAGTTTTCACCCTTTTACGATAAAAATCTAAAACAAGCAACCATTCTTTTGCAGGAGCAAAACATTTGAAAGTTGGAGGAACTTCTCTACAATATCTATTTACAAGCTGGTTTACAGGTTGGTTGTTTTTTCCAGGGGTCACTGAATGCAGCAGAGAACAACATTCAAACGACAACTGCAGCAAATCCAAAACCAAAGCTCATCCTGACTGATGCTTAAAAGGGAATCTTAAAAGCCAACATGCATCCAGATGTTCCAGCTGGATAAAAGTATTATATTTTTATATTATTATGGTATTAGATGATTTAAAGGCAGAAGTGTGAGTCTACATCCAGACACTTTCAAACATGTTATATAACTTCACCTCATGGCTCCTAAACTGTGTCCCACAAGTTTAATTATCAAAACAAATCCCGACTTTAGTCCAAAAAAAGAACATTTTCAATCTACAGAACTTGTTTTCCTTTTCTTTTTTTCAAAGAAAATACATAATAAATAAGTAGAAAAGATTTTACTATAATTTTTAAAATGGAGCATTTTCCTGTTCTCAGAATTAAAACTTATCTGTAGCAGAGTTTTGATGAACGATTATTTTGCAAATCAATTAATCTGTTAAATATTTTTTCGATTTATCGATTAATAATCAGATAGCAAAAGGTTTCTTAAAGAAGACTTTTTACTAAATTAAACAAGGTGAAACTAAAAGTTTTTTTAATCTTAAAGATAAAATACTCCATTATTACACAATGTTGATATAATTACTGTTGCTTTGTCAGCTAAAGGCATGTTTTAGAGTCTCTATACTCCACTTAACGATTAATCGATGACTAAATTGATGATTATTTCAATAATTGATTAAACTGGATTAATCTGATTAATTGTTTCAGCCCTAATTAATGCCATTACATCTTGCTTTTTATACTACAGAACATTTTGAGGCTAACAACTTGTGTGAGTTAAGAGGGACATGAGTCACAGTGGAGGGAATATTTCTCTCTCTAAAGGCAGAGTGTCCTGCTTCTATGAAAACAAACATTTTAGGTGATATACCTCTAATATCAAGACTGGTATGAAGATTAAATGATCAGAACTGGTACTTTAGGAACCTTACCGTCCGAACAGACCTGGATATATTTACCTGTTAAACCAGAACTTTAGTTTGTGGCTTTTATTTTGAATTATGTTCAAAAAGGCTGCTCCTTTATCTCTTTATAAGTCAGCAACTGATGCACTATTGCTTACTATTAAAAATAAGCATAAGCCCGACACGTTGAGACCGTTCCTTCTGACTGCAGATTTCCTTTAACAGCATCTCGGACTGCTGTGAGTCCGAGGACCACAGTTTAGGAGCCATTTCTCAAAAGAAAAAGAAAAAAACACACCATGTTTACTCACCTCGCATGCTGCGGGGGAACTTTAGAGACGTCATTTCTTAAACATTAACAGACAATGTCGATGAGTGACGCTCTTCTAATGTATTCATTATTATTAATAGAACAAAGTAGGAAGATCTATGCAAAACTCCACTACTTCCGGAACTTAAGGCATCTCTTTTGTTTCCTGTCTTTTTCTACTGGATGACCTGATTAATCCAGGTGTGCCTGACCTCAGTCACCATGGGCAGACACACCTGGATTAATCAGTTCATTCAGTAATGAAAGACAGGAAACGAAAGAGCTCCCTTAAGTTCCAGAAGTAGGGGAGTTGTGCATAAAGCCAAAGGCTTTAAAACAAAATATTAAGCTAAGGGTACCCTCTTTTTTGTCCAGGCCTAATTTCATGGGTGTTTTTTCTTTCTTTTTTTTTTATCATTCTTTAAAGCAAATCTGAAAAGCAGTTTCTGATTTCATTTGTTTCATATAATTTGCATTTGTCAGATTCCAGCTATTTCTGTGACTATTGTGGGTTTTTCCTTCATTAAATGAGGGCCACCAACACTCTTTTCCACACGTGTATTAAATTTTTATACACTAAAAGTTGCAATACTAAACACATGGAGTTTTATCAGGTTTTGAAAGGACACGTGTTAGTTAGGGCTTCCTGCTACAGATACCGTTAGGCAGTATTAGGTAATCGTGAATATTGCAGTATCATTGCTAAACGTAGCTATGATGATCAGTTACATCAACAAGACGTAGCCTGGCTGCAAATATGTTATTTTCTTGTAAAGACTCAGCACTGTTTACAGCTTGAATATTAGATTTTTATTTAAGCAAAAAAACAAACAAAAAAAAAAAAAAACCTGATATGAATATTTTTCAATTAAATTGGTTCGATTTCAAATGTATACCTTATAGATTTAAAATTTAAAATATAAGAAATTAAGAATAGTGGGGAAAAAGGCAATGAAGGAGCATTTAAAGGCGCGTAGACGACAAGTGAGTCAAAATATTGTTATAAGCAAATGATGCCATTTATTTTAAAAACCAAAATGTGATGCTAGACATAGTAAAAAAAAAAAAATAAAATAAAACAAAAACTGTAATAAGGCAGCTAATAATAGCTTTTAGATTAGAATAGATTTTTATGTTGTTTATTTTTATCTTTGATTTTATTGACCACATGATTTTTATGGTTGATTTTTTTTATCTTTGATTTTATTTGCACTGTGTAGCACTTTGAGATTTTTCTTAATGAAAAGTGCGGTACAAATTGGATTTATTATTATTATTATTATTATTAATAAAAAAAAACAATAAAGGGGTCATCCATTTCAATAATCATTCAATAATCAGTTGCAGACCTAAAATTAATCTTTCCAGAGGAGAAAAAAAAAACAAAAAAGCAAACAAACAGATTGATGGAAAAATAGATACATAACACACACACAAAAAAAGACACAATGAAATGTTATTAAGTATAATATAGGAAATGTTGGCATATTAAACAGTTTTTAATGCTTTAACTAAAAATGATGCACTTAAAACCTATCAGGACATTTGGAAAGGAAGGATGATGCCTTTATAGTCCCACAGTGGGAACATTTATATCCGTTTCCACGTTGAGTTGCAGCAATGTGGAATCATTCTGATGCTGGGGTCCAACTCAGGGACAGGTGACCTTTGACCTCCTCGGTGCTAATTAGGCCATTACTTTTAGGATTCTTTCATACTGTAATTATTTATTGTCGTAATAGATCTACCACACTGATAGGACAAGGTATTTTCTGCTTAATTATACAAAACCAACATAGAATCAATAAGAAAAACCACACACCGCCTCCCTGGTCACACTATATTAGTGTTTTAGCACATCGTATGTGTGTGTTGGTGGAGTTACTTTTCTCCTACTCACCTTCTTTCCTCTCTGAAGTAGAGCACTGGCTTTCTTCTGGATGAATACATCATGTTTTAGCCCCCTTCTGTCAGACTTTGTTAACGGTCTGTATCGCAGTTAAACTTGGCCTTCATTCCTCCAGGTTTAGGTCATCCATCCCGGACCTCTGTAGGGGAGCTGGGGGGTTCATGCTTTGAGTTGGAGCCGTTAGCAGGAGGGGCTAACGGGCTGCCGCAGCCGCTCGACACGTAGCATGAAGCGGTTCCTACAGACCGGGGCTCCTTTGGACCCTCGGAGACGCTCAGTCTGCTATAGTAGCCCCATCAAAAATCCCACGATGTTTCATCGACCTCAGAAGTCTCACATTTTATCGAAGGAGAGTCTGTTAATTATTTCTATAGAACGATTAGGAACGGCAGAAATCACAGACGCCGTCTAAAAGGCGTTCCGTCCTAGATATACATCCGAAAGAAACAGTAGATAGGAACTTAAGTTCTCTTTCTAACGTTCCGATCAATTTTGCCACAAAAGCATTCATGGCCAGGCAGACTCACCATCAGACATTTAATTTATGCCCAGCAGAGTCTGGCTGGCCATTTTGCATCTATTTTTTTAATACAACAAAGTTAAGTTAGTCAGTTCTATACATGTTTGCAACCAATGAGTAATTTGATAAGGCGAATATAAAAATAACAATGTTAACTTTACTCCTGTTAGTAATACAAACTCCAAATTCATTCTGTTTAAAGGGCACCTTTACCTTTAAATCCTGTCTCAAAAGGGTAATATATATATATATATATATATATATATATATATATATATATATATATATATATATATATATTGAGAATCCAGTTAATACAAACCCTAATTAATATATATACTCTATCCTGCTATAGGTTTTTATTTGTTGTACTTAGGAATTTGTGAACACAAGATCTATAGATAAAAATAAAAGACTGATTATCCGTACAGAAAGGCGTTGCTAAAAACAGCATTACAGGAGACAGTTAACAAATACTGCTTTAAGATTATGTAGTTTTTCACCCTACTCAGTTCTGATCTGACCTTTGACAGGAACCTGTCAAACCTTTTTAGCACTGTTGTAGATTTGCAATATTGTCCAATTTGAACCAAGCAACTGTTGGATTAGCCTCTGAAACAGTTATTTCCACAAAAATTCAGCCAACCCACTGAGTTTAAGACTATGTGGCTATCATGAACTCCACATTTATATAACCCCAATGCTAATATCTCTGTTAGTCTTATATGTTTTCTTCTTCCTTTGGCACCTTCTTCTCTTTTTGACTATTTGAGCTGATTTCTCCACTGTGAGATCAATAAAGTCAATCAATCAATAGTTTTCCTTTTTAATCAAGGCTGAGTTTTGCTGGAATGTGTTCAAGGAGGCCATCTCTTTCAGCCCTTCCATACAAAAGCCATTCAGTCATTTTCGGAGGCATTTAAAGTCTGAAAAAGGGATTATTTTCTCTTTTTTTTTTAACCATCTTATTCTTTATTTTGTAATACTAAATGGAAGATGAAGATCAGAATAGTAACCGTTTGCCATATGCAAATAGTCTTTAAGAAGCAACGAGACCAACAATCTCTTGTTGTATTGGTTTTATTCATTTCTGCAGTCACATCTCATTTTAATTGGCTTCAAAAATCTTCTCCCTCAAAATACATTATACAGAATATAAAAACTCTAAACAGTGACTTGAGCTGTTGATGTGAAAAATGCCAGAAAAAAAACAAGCTATAGTTGAGCCAGAAGATCCTTCAAACCAAAGGAGAAACATTCGAGTGCAACTGCTAATGCATTGGAAAAAAAAGCTCCACATCTAAAGGGGGAAAAAAAAGTATTTTTTTATTTCTACTCCAAAATACAGAACCCTGATAAGAAAATACAATCAAATTTTACTGAAGAAAAAAAAAAAAAAAAGCTTGAATTTTTTTCTTTTTTAAATCAGCTAAAGCTGAGTATTAAAATGCAGCAGTCTGAGAGGAAAAACGGCTTTCTGATGTTTTTTAGTCTTTCTAGAACTAAACAGCAAAAAACTCATGTTTATTTCAACATTACCATTCTGAAGTCGGATGAAACGTGGGAGGAATTTATGTAAAGGTCCAGGTTTTGTATTTTACTGCAAATGATTTAACTTGATAAGAAACAGTGCATTGAGCAGAAAATACATCACCTACCAAGTAAGCAAGAAAAGTTGCACCCTTTGTTTGCACCATTATATTTTTTCTAATGATGAGAAATAAAGACCCCTGCAGTTAATTCATCTCTCATAACATGGCTGACGTCCTCTTGCTAGCTTTAAAAACAAAAAGGTGATGGCACATTATTAAAAGAAATTCAACTACATTCTGTGTTTTGAAAAAAGAAGTTTAAATACAATTTTATTAACTTTTTTTGCCAAAAAAGGACCAAAACATGTCTGCAAGGGACTCCAGCTAATGTTATTGAGCATTGTAATGTAAAAAACCTCCACAAGCAATCACCCCTTACCTTAATTAAATTTAATCTCAGACAACTAAACCTTTTGAGAAAATCTGTGACTTAGATAGAAACAAAGAACAACAACTCAGACGTGAAATGAGTTTATCAACATCTCAAGTGGCCAGTAACAAAAGGGAACAAAAACATGAGATTAATCACTGCGTGGATGCTGGGTGCAAACATCCGTCTGAAAGATTAAACTTCCAGCTGTTAGCGAGAAGTGTTCTTGGATGTTCCTGTAGATGGGAGCGGCTCAAACCAAAAAAAACAAAACAAAACAAATGTTTTCAAGTCTAATCTTGGTGCAGCTGGATCTTTTTTTACGCTGCTTTTTCTTTTACTGCATCCATCAGTAGATACCAAACACACACATTTCTGTACACACACGCTCCTTCAGCACAGTTACACCAGCTTCTTTGCCTCGAAGAAGCTCTTGAGGTGTCTCATCTGCCAGATCCCTATGGCAACCAGGATGAGGGTCTGAACGATGGACCACCAAAGGACACGCTGGTTGGTGCTCTCGCTGGTCTGACGGAAACGCTCCTCACGGTACTGAAGACACACAGACAGTAGGAGGAATTACATTAAAACAAATTAACAGATTCTAAGTAAATTTTTCCATTAATTTATAATATGTGCATTCATAAGTACTAATTACTTTTTGTCTTTTTGTTTGCATTAGATAAAACATCAAAAAAGGAAAGTATAAAGCTGATATGACTTCTGCTGAGGTGTGAAGTAAGCAGGGCGATTAATCGAATGTTCTACTTAATTTTTTGTCCACCAATGTAATCCTTGTCGGTCCACTGCTCAGAACTGCATCCGTTCACTTATTTTTCTTAGATATGTTCTCATAGCGGATAAACTAGCTAACTGGGTGAGCACCACATTTATTTGACATAATTTCAAATATTTTTCACAGCTTGAATTTTGTTGCCCTTTAAATTAAGGTCACCTCCCAAAGAAGATTGAAAGGAATGCAAGTCATTATAAAAGAAATTAGCTTTAAAAAAAACAAGAGACTTTGAAGCCATATCTCCCATCGTTAGTGTAAAGTAAGGCCAGGTTCCTCCACCTGTTGTATTGTCTAACCCCATAGACTCTATATGTTGGTCTAAGTAAGGCATGTCAGCTGGCCTGACTAAGACTCTGGAACCCTGATTACCCATGATAAATATTGAAATTAGACGTTTGGACCAGTGGATAATATTATCTCTGGTAATTGACAGTGTCTCTGGTTGAAGAGTGCATTTAATTTCCCTTGTCCTGGATAGTCTTTCTCTTGCAGCCCTACACACCAGCTGCAGGCCATGCCTGTAAATCTGCTCCAACATCTCGCCTTGTCTTACAGTACCAAAAGGCCTGAAACTATTCCACCTTTACCATCCACACTTTCCTTTTTAGTCCAATGCAATTGTTGCATTACTAAAATATTTATAGTACCCCATGATCTTTAAAATGGAAAGAAATAAACAGCGGAAATAACTCCCTGTGTATAATGACTAAGGAGTCTGGTTAGATCTGATCTGTACACTGATACCACAGTGAGATGGTAGCTAATAGAAACAGCTTTTATCTGATCCTCCATCCAAGGTTTTAGACATCTGGAATGGATTGCCACTGCACATTAGACAGGCCACCACTCTGTCTCATTTTAAAACTCCTCTTAAAACCCACCTCTTTTCTTTGGCTTCTGACACCATGTGGAGTGTTGATTTTATGTATATACATGCATATTTCTATCCTGTGCGGGCAGTGCTTTTATTTTATTTATTTTATCTTTTTGTGCAGCACTTGGAAACCTTGTGTTTATTGAAATCGTGCTATATAAATAAAGTGGATTGGATCTGATTATATTATTGTAATTCACCACCCTATATGGTTTGGAGAAATAAAAATATAAATTAATCTCAGTTTGAACTTTTCTATTTCGCATCTATAAAGTTATGCATTTCAGCTTCACTGTCATTGTTTTGTTTTGAGCTGCAGAAGTCAATAAAGACCTCTTTGACTTAGATTATGGAGGAACACCCTGCCCCCCCTACAGCTCCCAGATTGCAGACTTGAACTGACCCGCTGGTAGTTCTGCTCCTTCTGGATCTGGTCCACCTGCTCCACCAGCTGCCGCACTCTGAGCTGCAGCTCCGTCAGTTTGTCCTTGGCAGCAATCTCAGCGTAGTTATTGGCGTGTTCGCCCACCTGGATGTCCAGATGAACGCGCTGCAAGATAAAACAAAACAACAAAATAATGTCAGCGCTGAGTGAGACATCTTCATCCAGAACCTCGAGCCAATTCCCCACTTACACATTTTATGCAATTTGTGTTTTAATTTCTTAACATAAAGTGCATTTTATTTTCCTTCAAAGTAAAACTGTCTTGTCAGACAGGAAATTGATATTGTGTAATATGAAATTCGCTGAGAATGGGCTGCCTCCTCACCAGCATGCCTCCAGCAAACAGGGAGAACTTTGAGGAGTTGGAGTGGAGGCAGATCTGATGTTCTCCGGGTGTGTGCGACGTAAAGGTGAATCGTCCCTCAGAGCCGTACTGCCGAGACAGAATCACCTGCAGGAAACCAAAGAGGTGATCAAACCAGTTCAAGCTCCAAACACGCTGCCAGAACCTTAATCACATCAAAAGCTAAAAAAAAAGGCAACTAAATGCAACAAACTGCAGCACTTTAATGATGTCTTTGTACACAGAGGGCTTAGCTTTACCTTGTCATCGGGGTCTTTGACTTCAACAAACATCCCCAGACCCTGTGTTGCTGGTAGATATTCTTCTTTCTGCTTATCATAGAGCTGAGTTCGGTAGTTACCTGGACATAGACACAGAAAAATTAAACCCCCACGATGATTTCAAGCTGAAAACAAACATAAGCAACATGAAAGAGACGCATTATTTTCAATATAACCTGCATTCAAAGTCAACAGTAGAAGTTAACAGTTTGACTTCGTGTGGTTTTAAAGTCTGCAAAAAAAAAACAAAAACAGCTCAACTCTCCCATAATAATTCTGAGTTTCATTTATTTTTTTTTCAGAAGAAATTAATAAAAAAAACTTCACAGAAGGGAGTGCTGGCACCATGTGAAAATGCTCTTTAATATTGAGCCGTTTAGATCCTGGGGATATTATTGGTTAAACTTTGATACTTTACACAGAGTTGCTCCCAGCTGTGTTCAGCTTTGCCAGGAAACACATTCATCACAGAGTCCTTTGCAAAACGTTTGTGGACCAATTTCCAAATATCTATACAGTGCAAAGGGTCTTGATCCTGGGATTAAGGGCTCCAAAGTTTACTTTTCAAATATTATGATTCTCACTTATGATTTTCTTGATCGATCTTAAACAGTCACTGAGGCAGAATGTTATCTGAGGCTGTGGTGCTAGGCGTAAAGGGAGAATTGGCCTGTTCAGGTTGAAAATAAGATACTACTTCATGTTCATGGTGGTGTTACAGTATTGCGGTGCATAGAAATCACAGGTCAGTCCTTTCAACCATCAACTATGGTGAGAAGAAGAATAAAGGCAGCTCCATGAGATGCTGAATGGATGAGATTCTATATGATGTTGGGAAGCAGGTTTCTGTTTCCACCTCATAAGCTGAAGGAATAGATTGTGGAAGTGAGGTTTGGGGTCTCTGTTAAAGCAATGGTCTCACCGTCCTGGTCTCAGATCAGCCAGAGCAATGAGGAATTCAACTATATTTATAAGCATGTAAGTACACTATTCATAGAATTAACTTTCAACTGATATAAGAATGATGGAATCAAACTTTTTACCTTAAACTCCAGCCTTCTGTGTCCCTTTATAGCGTTTCAAACATATGGAAACACTAACTTTCAACATTTTAACAGTAACAGTGTTAGTTCTGGTTTATTGCAAGCATTCTACATATGCTGTATTTGGTGTTCACCGTTGGTTTCAATTTAAGACACATAAAAGTTATCTGGGTGAAGAGTTTCTTTTAGATTTTAGGTTCTTCAATCAATATTTGTTTTAAGAATAAACCACGTAGACTCACCCACCTGTTCTCTTTTTACAAGTAACTTCCTGGAAGTTGCGAATGAGATTAACTTCATCTAATGATCTAACATCCATCAAAATATTCTGATAAAGCAGAGTGTTAGCATCAAATACATGCAACAACAAAAAACAACTTGGTTTACTCAGCAGGTGCTTGCTGAGTGGAAACTTTTTGGGACATGACAGACAGGTTCTTAGCTCGATTGGCCGTGAAGCTAACTAGCACGGAGGCTAACTAGCTGTTAGCATTGACTCACCGATAATCATGGTCTCGTCTGGGATTTCCTCTATGAAACATTTCTTCTCGGTCTCCCCAATGTGAAAATACAAGGAAGAGACGCAGTTGTAGAAAACATTCAGGAGGAAAGCCGAAAACACAAACGAAAGCTGCATCCTGAACCGCAGCGATACCTGAGACCAGAGACCGAACTGAGCCTGAGCACAGACAGCACTGTGCCACGTAAACCCTCGTACAGCGTTAGCCAATCAGCGCGCCTCAGGAGCATTATGGGTATTGTAGTTTTAAAACTAAATATAGTAGCATCAAACGCATCAGGATTTTGAAGCTTATTTTCTTTTGTTTAAGATGTGTTTTCATAAGTTTTAAAGGATAAACGAATAAAAGGTATCCTGCCAGGTGTCACTACAAGTACTCTTGATCCCAGATTTCATGTTAATTTTTTGTTTAGTAACAAGACTGACAAATATAGGTTACAACATTCATCATTTTATTTGGATGAATACTTCCTTGATTTCTTAAATACAACTTTTATATTATTTTACAAAATATATTTTTCTTTTTTTTTTTATCATGTTAGTAGGTTCGAGGTCAGATTTGAACTCGTTCAACCCCCTACTGTAACTCCTTTGCACCACAAGATGGCAGCATTATAACACACCGATGCCCTGCACATAGAAGAAGAAAGCCAAGCCGTTTCCATAGTAACCAGGCGGATTCCATCATGGCGCCCGGTGAGTTTTGAGCTTTAAAACATATTTTACGTTGTTAGACAATCTTTACTTTAATCATATGTTTATTAGCAACACACCGAGAAGTTCGAACATATTTCTGTTCAAGCAGTCGGTTTTTAAAGTTAAAACAAAGATCGGTTTCGTTAATCACCAACGCTATTAAACAAAAGCAGATTTTTTTTATCTGAATGACTGGATGCTTTTACCTTTTTCGTAGGTTACTGTTTTATCAAAATGTATTTATTTGTTTTAGTTTGTTTACTCCTGCTTGGATTTAGAATAACTGTTTATGAATTTAGACTAACTTTTAAGTTATCATAGCTGTATTCTATAATTCTTAGCAGAGACTCATTAATATTAATCCAGACCGTGCATAAAACAGCCCTATTTTCCAACTTCTTTCATTTTGTCCAGGGAGCCGATCAGTGGTATCCTTCCAATTGAAAGTGGAGCAGATCTGCAGCTCGCTCTCTATCTGCTGTTGCTGTCCTTAACTATCTCTTTTCCAGCTCTCCTCAACACCTCTGCAAGTTCTTCTCTACCTGAACACCTGGTACTTTGCTGCCTTCTACTTGGCAGAGATCCTCATGTTCATCTACAAAGGTGAGATTACTGTCTCACATGTTTTGGCAAGTTTGCAAAAGTCTGAAGTTTATGGCCCCTAAGACCCCCCCTTTCTCTCACACAACCAAAGGCTTTTTTATATACTCAGATTAAACTGTGAAAGAAATTACGGCAGATGAGTCACATGTCTAGAAAACAGACATTTGAGGCCCGTTTCACAAAACCAAGATAAGGGATTAAGTGGGATTTACCGGATATCCTGGTTTAATTAATCTGGACTCAGTTTCACAAGAGCAGTAACACATGCTACCATGGTGAGTTATTCTGTGCATCCAGCCTGCTCCAAATATTGTTATTTTGTGGAGTACTTTTAACATTACTATAGTATCCTTACCCTTTAATAAAGTCATAATTTTCTATGTGTACATTGTTACTTTTTTATTGTATTTTTGAAGACTGCATAAATCTCACCGTTCTTCAGGTATGACATCCGCTACCTGGGCAGACTGCTGGGTCTCAAAGTGGAGCCCTGCACCATTTTACAGTGATCTGTGTTGGGCTCAGATTTGCTGCTCAACTGAAAAAAGTGACTTTTTGGTGCAGTAAACTCTATTCGTTCTAATTTTTATTCTGTATTTGTAGCATCAGTAAAAACTAGAGTTTCTGAAGTAAACCTTTTCTAATGCAATACATGAATTTTGGGAAAAGAATAAGCTTTACTTAGATTTCTTATACTTATACTGTTCTTATACTGTTTAAATTTTTAATAGCAGTATGTACATAAACCTAAATATATATATGTAGGTTTATATATAAACTTTACTCTAAAAATATAGCATTTTGAAAAGCACACACGTCGCATGCACACTGTAGCTTACAGCAGGAATGATTCTGCTCTGAGTCCAGGCGTTACAGGATCACACACAGAGCAAGAGGTAGTCCCAACGACAGTCATTTTGGCATGGTGCAACAGTACTATAAAAGCTTGCTCGCTGCTCATGTGAGTGACATATGCCTTTAGGGCGACAGTCACATCGGATGTAGGAGTTGACCCTGAAATCGAAGGATTGACGGTTCAAGCCCCAGCTCCGACTTTCAGTGTCCTTGGCCAAGACACTTAACCTGCATTGTCTACTGATAGTGGTCAGAGGGCCCGGTGGCCACTTACCATCTGAACTTGGCATACCCTCCCACTTTGCGCTACATTATTTAAGTCTTCCAAAAACTTTTCCTAGAGTTGGATGGATTTAAACTGTCCCCAAAAACACCCTGAAGTCAACGTTGCTTTCCTAAATGCATTCATGACTTTGTCATCTTAGGGTAGGAAAATGCCAAGATTTAGCAGTGGGTTCCAGTTAATCATAGTGAAAGGTTGCCTGTCATTAATGTTTTTTATTTTTTGTCAAATAAGGTATACGTTATTATTCAAAATAAAACAGATACCTTTATTCAGACATTTTATTCTTCATTAAGAATGGTTAAACAGTTTACTGTAAGCTGTTAAATTTTATTGGTGTTGATTTTGTTTCATTAGTGCTGTAATTGCATTCTTCAAAGTCCACTAGTTTGGATGACTGGTTTAAATATTAAAATTACACTGTTTCAGTGTGTATTTTTGTAAGATTGTTACCACATATTTGTGTAGTAACTATATTACCTTTCCTTAGTTTTGTGAAACAGGGCCCTGGTTTTTGCCAAGTAAAAACATCAGAGAGAAAAAAAAAAAAAACACTGATGACAAAAACAATCAGTGAGAAATACAAAAAGTTACTCTCCTTATTTATTTTTTAGTTATTGTTTTTAAATACGCATTGGTGCTGAAATGACCACTTTGGTTGTTTTCCTGTGCAGGGATTTTACTGCCATATCCACGGGATAATCTCATCCTGGACGTAGTGCTGCTGGTTCTCTTCCTTGCTCTGGAGACATTCCGCATTTTTTATGGTGAGAAATGCTTGAAACATTTAAAGCGTACATTTGAGAATTTGTAGAATTCCTATAAGGATTCAGTATATTTAGCAAATGAGGACATTTTGTTTCCCTGTTTATGTCGAAATGCTTTATACACCTGGATTTAAACCAAGATACAGCGATACAGTCTCATTTTAACCTTTCAGAATGGATTTATTCTCAGGAATCAATCCTTTCTTTTTGTGTTTCCTTTTTCTCCAAAAGAGTGACCAAGAGAAACAGGAGCAACATATTTGTTCAGATTTTGAAACGGAAAGGGACAATCTGCAAATCCCTTTATACCATCTTATATTTTTGGTAATTCAGCATCTTAATCTGGAAAATAAATATTTGAATGCATGTTGATTCCTGCAACATTTGAACTCTCATAATTCTTCACATTTTGTACAATTGATCTAAAAGTTTGTTCTAATTATTACTTCTGTTTCTTCTATAATTATGTTTTTCGACTGAGCTTTATAAATCTTGCACTTTATCTTTGTTGTTGCTGATTTAGTTTTTGTGATTAAATATATATCGTGTTTCTAATCCTCTAAGTGTTTAGATTAGAATTTTTATTACATATAAAAAGATGCAACAATCATTTGGCCAAAGAAGGAATTGGTTCTCATCCCTGATGGGCAGCGATTGAAAATAATATTCTACTTGAATTGATCAAGACTAAAACTTTCCACAGTTTTCATTCCTCCTCTTCATTAGCAAATAAAATAAACTTTGATCATCTTTTTCGAGAAAAAAAAAAAAAAACTTGGCTCTATTACACTTTGTTTGTTGCCCTGCAGAATTTGATGTGTCTCTTTGTCAAATAATCAGGTCATCAGCAGGACTGAAGAACTTGGTTTGAGATTAAATTATAGGAACCCTGCGCTGCTGTGCCCTTTGCAGACAGCCTTTAGCCTTCTGGAAGGGATTCTAAGATGGAAACCCATTAAACGATGAAGGATGCTTTTCAAATTGGAAATACAACTTTCTGGAATATAAAAAAAAAGACAAAAATGTAATAAAGAGCTAAAGATTTCCACTATACAAACCAGAACATATGAAGGTGCGTACATTTGCATGTGTTGCAAACGGTACACATGAAGTAATAATATATGATTGCTGATTTCTGTGCCTGGTCTGGTCTGTGCCTTCATGTCAAAGCAAGGATACTGGGAATCTACAGAATATAGATCCTTAGTGCCAGATTCGAGTGTTGCAAGGTCCCAATGTTAAAGATATAGTGGAGGATGTTCTTTTTCTGGGTAGATCATAAAAAAATAAGTGGTGCTCCTAATTGTCAATAATTCTGGTGATGTGTTTACGTAAGGCTGTCCTACGTGCTCATCCCCATTTTCATTTACCGGTGGTGAGTCTGACATATTGGGAAAAAAGAACAAATCTTTTTTAAAGAAATCTTGTATGAGCAATGCAAACAGCAACTTTTAAAGTTGCTGTTTGCATCACAGAGTGAGCACAAGGAGAAATGGGCTCGTGCGCGCTCACCCACGAGTTTAATACACGTTCCCTCTTGGGAGCAGGTACAGGGTTGTGCATGTGCTTTTTTTTAAGTGGGGAGGGTGGGTATTTTCAAGAATTTGCAAAAATCCTCCACTAGACCTTTAAAGGAACTCTGATAGAAATCATACAGGCCTCTCTTCTTACCTCCTTTCTTGCTGTCAGCATTTAGTATTCATTATTATTAATTAGACCACCGGAACTGGAATTCAAAAATCACTAAGGTTAGGGATATATATATTTAGATGCATAAATTGGGATAATCTCATAACTGCATTTGCATTTATGCTACTCCAATTTATGCTTCTTGATATCCTCATGATGTTTGGGAAAATATCCTTCAGATTGATGAGACAAATATGGAACTGTTTTCAAGGTGTGCATCCCTTTACAACTGGTGTAAAACTAACATTCATAACTTCATACCAATGGTCCAACATGGTGGTGGTAGTATGATGATCTGGAGCTACATTGCTCTTTCAGGGCATGTCTACAGAAAATCCTAAAGTAGAAAGTCTGGATCAAGGATGGATCACTGATTTATTTTTATGGTTTAAAGGGTCGTTTCTCTTTTCACATTGTACCAGGTTGGTTTTAATAAACACAAATCATCATTTAAGAAGTGATGTCTTTATTTATTATTTATTATTTATTCAGATTAGCTTTGGCTTATTGACCTGAATCATTTAACCGGGGGGGTCTCTGTATATAAGGTGCTATTTGTTTATAGACGATTAAAACTGAATCCATTTCTGCTCTTTAACTTCACATTTGTTTCATGTATTTTACCTGTAGGACATCAGACACTGTATTTAACTTACTGGGTTGTAAGCACTATCAGCACTGCTTTATTGTAGAGAATTAAAAATATCTGTGACATCATTGTAAAGTTATAGACATATTTTGCAACATGATTGTTGGACAAGTTAAACATGTTTAGTTAAAGTGATAAAGGTTTGTTGTTACAGATTTATGGTGATGAACTAGACTCAGCAGCAGCAGCATGCAGTAACAGTTATTAGCCCTTCCTTCTGAGTGCCTACAGTGATGATTTTTTTCCCTAGGCTGGAAGGGGAACCTCTGTGAGCGCTCTCTGGCTTCCCTTGTGTCTCTTTTCATCCTGATTCCCTGCACAGCGCTGGCCGTTTACTACCTCCTGCTGCAGACCTTCGTCTTGCGGTTAGAGTTCATTCTCAGCGCTGTGCTGCTCTGCTTCTATGGCCTCGAGTTCCTGCTCGGTGTTATCTCCATTTCTGCTTTCTCCAGGTAATCCATGCCAGATAGAAACAATAAAGAGTGTATTAGGAGGCCCCAGGAAAAAAGATTCATTCATTCATTCATTCATTATATTGATTCATTTTCAGTCTGTTTTGTTTTTCTTTAAAGGTCCAGAGTGTACTGATGCATCAGCAGCTTTCTTCAGAGAGAAAATGATCTTAATTCCTCTAGGAGGAAATTATATCTAAATAGTTTTTGTATGTTTTGCTTTGTAGATGTTTTTTTTACTCTGAACATCAGCTTGGATGTTATCAATTGTCTCTAGCTGATTTGAAATGCCAGTGAAAAGACAATACAAGAGATGGGCCGACATCAGGATGTGCCAATGCCCAAATGTTTAAAATAATAATAAAAATAAATAAATAAATAACATGTATAGAAAAAAAACAGCATCAATGGCTTGGTAGATCAGCTCCTTCTGTTTCTGTTGAACCTCATCAGCCAGCAGTCTGCCTTTCAGCTGCAGCGCTGTTGGTCCATCTTGTGCTTAGATGTATCTTTTGTTGACTTGTCACCTAATGTTAACCTCCTGCAACATGAAACATGTGTTTAACATTGTTTGTACTGAATCATTATTTACATAAAAGATAAATAAACTACATCTAGAAGTACAACCAGTGGTGTTCCTCAGAGACCTGGGGCCTGTTTCAATAAGGAAGTTCAACCAACTCTGAGTTAAAACTTGAACTCTGAGTTGACTTATCCTGAGATTGGAAACTCTGAGTTTTGGGTTTCAGAACAGCTGAAATGAGTTAGTTCAATCAACTCTAAATTGACTGACACTGAGTTAAGCGCGTGCACCACAACTATAAAAAGCCATTATCAATGGAGCACAGATATTACGAGTCACCATGGCAACAGCCACAAAAAAAGGTGTGCATATTTCTCACCAGCAGAACTGGATGTGCTTATGCAAGCATATGCAGAATTTGAACATGTATTTAAAAAAAAAAAGCAACACGGCTGCAGCGGCGAAGGAGAGAGTTAGCTTGGGTGAAAATAGCTGCTCGAGTCAATGCGTAAGTTTACATTTTAATTACTTTTATACAGTGTTGGGTGCAATGAATTAAGTTACTTAAGTCATATAAATACTGTAATTAAATTAAAGACTATAAAACAATAGTGGATTTAATATCAAATTTTAAAAGGTATATTTTGATTTGAACTTTTTCCCTCTAGTTACACACTTTGGTCAAATTAAGATTAATTCATGCAATTGAATATTGTTTATTTGAAAGCATTAGAAGTGCAGTTTCTTGTCTCTCCTTGTATTGTTTAAGTGGTTGAGGTTGATTTGGGATTTAGAAAGTAATTAATAAGTAAGTAAAACAAATTAGTAAGTAGACCAATACTTTCTAGAGACAGTAATTATTACATTAATCTAATTAGACTTGTTGAAGATAAAATTTGTAGTTAGTAATTAAGAACTATTTTAGAGTAACTTACCCAACTTTATAATATCAGAGGTGAAACTGGAAGAACAGTATTTTATTAAACCTAATTTAGTTTTCATGGATAGGTGCAATCCTGCAGGCATCAAAAGAACATGGCAGCAGCTGAAAATGAAATATAAAAACATACTTCAAGCAGGTAAGCCTTGAGCACGTCATGGGAGTAGAGTAGCTACCTGGCTTTACAAACAGGATCATCCATAAAAGGACATGCCATTTCATTCCCTTTGATGCGCTCTATGTGACTGAAATGTGTGCAATGAATACTGTATGTCCCCAAAGAATCAATGAGGTGTTTAAACACCACTTCCTCTTTAAAAAAGGGGAGGAGACCAAAATAAACTCTGGATTTTCTGAAGAAAACCTGCTCCCGACCAGGTTAGGTTCACAGAGTAAATTGCCATGGTAACTGACTCTGAGTATAAGTTACCTCTCTTTCAGAAACGGGCTTGACTTACTCTGCTTTCTCAGGTTTAACGTACCTCCCTTTCTGAAACAGAAAACCCAGAGTTTCCCTCATTTCAGGGTTAACAAACTCAGAGTTTTCACTTAACCTCCTTTCTGAAACAGGCCCCTGTTCTCAGACCTATTTATTTCATGAGGATAAGCTTCATCTCCCTGTAAAAAGGTTTACTTATTTTCTAATTTGAAGATATATTTTACCTCTACCTCAATAAAATGCTCCCTCTGAACAGCATAATTATCAATTCTGCAGTTTTCATCATTAACTAGCAATCAGATATGGTTATAATTTCAAAACCCAGTATTTCCATTTTTTCTCTTAACTTGTTTACACACTTTAAATCTATTCAAAACCCACAAAGGATTTCTTTTCATAGAATAAATGGTCTGCTTTATTACCAAACAAGGGGATAAAAGAAGTAAAAAAAGAAAAGAGGTCAATGACAGGATGAAAAACTTTGCCTTCGACCAATTGTGAGGAAATGGGCTGGAGGGCTGAAAAAGAGGAGTTAGTGCGGAGAGTTCTCTGACCTAATCATCTGATGTTGTGTAACAGAATGAAAGTAATTTGTTGGAGTTTTTACAATAAAAAAAAACACTTTGAATAAAAAAAGATGTGTTGGTCATTTGTTTTAATAATCACCAAAAGGTTTAATTTCAATAATGTTAATGTAATCACCACTCTGACCAGGGTACACATATTCCATAAAAGTAAAAAAAAAACTGTTCACTGGAATTTGTTTCGAAGTTTGAAGACGTTTCGTTTCCCATCCAAAAATGTCAGAAATAGCATAGAGTTCGAGGCTTAACCCTTTAAAGCGCGATCCAAGAATAAAACAAAACAGAAAATTACTTTTTTTTGGTTTGAATTCCTTATTTGCCCTTTTAACAAAATATGTAAAAAGAAAAAACAGAAATACATTTTTCATATTAATAATTTATCACAATGCGATAAGTCAAGATAATTTTTTGTGTAGTCTTCTACTAGCTGTTATCAGGTATATCTGATTGTGTAGAATAGGATTTTGAGCAAAGTTTTTAACCATTAAATTATGCAAAAGGTGTCAGATGCAAAACATTTCAGAAATCGTATGTATCAAATACGATACATTTGGCATTACAGGGTTAATAGAGGTGACTGAAAAACAAAGCCTTGTTTTGGCTAAGAAATCATGCAAATTGAACCGGAACGAACCAAAGGGTCCCCGCCCTTTGGAATGGGGGTTTGTTTGATTTTTTTCTCAGCCTGTGTTACACGATACCTGTCTATGTCTCTGAAAGGGGGCTTGTTAAAGATAATTGTTGGCCTGGCTGAACAGGTGAGGTGCTCTGATCCCCTGTAAGGGGGTGGGGGTCGCGATGATATTGGGAAGGAATCAACTAAATCGCTGAATTGTAGGTTTTTGAAAGCTGAAATCTGAGTCCACCCCGTCTGTTTAAGGTTGGTTTTCTTTCTTAACATAGATGGCTTCCTTCAGCTTTCAAAAACCTCAGGATATCATCTCTGTCCTTTTGTGAAGCTGCCGGGATGAGGATCAGCACCTCCAAATCTGAGGCCATGGTTATCCACCGGAGAAAGGTGGACTCTCCAATTCAGGTTGGTTTAGGGTCCTTTTCTCAAGTGGAGAATTTAAAGTATCTGGAAGTCTTGTTCATGAGTTAAGGATGGATCGAGCTTGAGATCGATAGACAGATCGGTGCGGCGTCAGCAGTGATGCAGTCGCTGTATTGGACTGTCGTGGTGAAGAGACAGCTTCATACCAGAGAGTCAGCGGGCAAAGCTCTCAATTTACCGATCGACCTACGTTCCCACTCTTACCTATGGTCATGAGATCTGGGTAGTGACTGAAAGGACAAGATCGTTAATACAAGTAGACGAAATGAGTTTCCTTTGCAGGGTGGCTGGGCGCACCCTGGGTCTTGGCTGCTCAGCTTAAACTTCTGCCTCCGCGACCCGGCCCCGGATAAAGCAGAAGAAGATGGATGGATGTGTAGTGTGATAAGAGTATTCAGAGTTGTAACTTTATAATATCGCCAAATCTTGAATATCACAAAGTCAAATAAGTTGACTTAGGCTAACTGCTCTCTAATCAGCCTAAGTTAAGCTCACTATCAGATAGAAAGAACCTGCAGACTGACGATGAATCCAGGCACCTAACATGAAGCCTGGGGCTGGATCCCAAACAGTTGGACCTGGGCAGACAAAGGCTTGTAGAGAGACCAGAAAATAAACTTTATTAGAGCTGCAAAGTTTTCAGGGTTTTAACAAATTTTCTCGACATGTATCTTTGCATATGTTCAGTCTACATAAGATTGCAAAGCTTTATCAACTTTTGAGGGAAAACTTTTCTTCCTTAAGCCGTCTCTAATCTCAGATGACTAATTTAACAGTAAGCGAACACGCAGAATGTGTCTGTTGCAAAGAGGATAAAGAAAGTGGAATTCTTCTTCCTCCTGACCTGCACGTGTTTATGCTCACAAGGCATTTGTTCTGCTTGTCAAAGTCTCCGTCCGTCTGATTGGGTGCAGCTCGTATTAGACAGATCAGTGTATTTGCATGTCTCCACGATGGCTGCCTCGCTCGTTTCTCTCCGTGAATATAAAGTAGACAGAACTTAAAGCTGAGAGCTTTCATTAACGGGGACATCGCAGGCTTGCACTTCAAATTAAACTGTGCCACTTTGTTGAGCACCAACCTTTTATTCAGAAGTTCACCATCGTCTTTGCAGTCGTCAGGAAACTTCCAGTCAAAATTCTGAAAAGTTGCAAATTTTTACATAATTTTATTTAAACTCAAAAGGATCAACAGCTTTTCTTTACGCTCTCAGGTCACATTGTCTTGCATTTAGAAAAAAAAAAAAATCACTTCTTTGTATGAATATAAAGATACACCAGAAACAATAGTTGCTTTAATCCATTATCTCAGATATGTGCACTTAATGAAAAAAGATTTTAAAAACACCATGTCCGTCTGTAAGGAGTTTTAATTAATATCAAAAGTTTGGATCAAACTTAGTCATTTCTTTCAATAATCTAAAACCAGCGCTTAGACAAAGCAGAATTTTTTTTTTTTACTTTACTCTGAATATATATATATATATATTCTACTCATAAAACATATTCTTTAGATCTCCTAGAAATGGTATGAATGTTCAAGAGAAATTTATGAAATAAATTGAAAATATTTTCCCAAAATTTGTTAAGAGAAAACAATTAAATTAGACTTTTTTATTTTATAGAAGAATGAGTTTTACAAGAAGTAGGAAATATAAAAATAGGAAATAAAAATATTTTTTAACATTTTTAATTTAGGCATATTAAAATACATTGTGAAGAAAAACAGCTGGAATTTGTTTGAAAAATCACCTCATTAATCATATTTTGTATTTTTCATCTGCTCCTTATTTTTACAATAGATGAAAATAATATTTTGTCATTCATTTTTATCCCCTACACTAATACAAATGAATAAACTCTTCCATTGATGAAGATGTGCTAAAGTTCCCTGGGAATAAACATATTAGGGAATAAATTAAATATTATATTAAACCCAGCTTCAACCTACCGACTTGTATTTTGCAAGCGGTGTGGGACAAGTTAAAATCTTGTCGTGTCTAAAAGGCTTCCTCCCCTGGTTTTATGTTCTTTAATTTATAAATTGCTGGCTTGAGATCCTATTATATTAATATTTTTATTTTTTTATAATAAAAATGTGGGCC